ATTTGGGGGGGTATCGGTTTTTTTTTTTGGGAGCTCTTTCGACTGAGGGGGGGGTTTTTGGCTCGTGAGAATGACAGAAAAACGGGCTGGTATTGGGTTAAAAACGGGACAACCGGCGCCGGTAGGGTCGTTGGACCGGCGCCGGTTGTCGTTCGGGGCTTTGATCGAGGCTCAGTTTTCATATAACCGGCGCCGGTTGGGTCGTTGGACCGGCGCCGGTTGTCCCCTGGGAAGATGTTCTAGCTTTGTGTTATAAAACCGGGGCCGGTAGTTCTGTATAACCGGTTACTGTACGATTTTCTTTTTTTTTTTTTCTTTTCAATTATAAATGAAATATGCCTGTTTTTTTATGAACATAATTAGTTATAATTTGTTAAATTATAAATAATAATGTATATTTGTGGAGCTAAGCATATTTCTTTATAATTGAAATTTTATGTTGGGTTGCCTCCCAATTAGCGCTCAGTTTAACGTCATAGGCCGGACGCAACATACCTCTCACGTGTGATTGGGCTCTCGAAGACGTTTGACCAATGTTACCTTTTTGAGATCGTGGGGAGGCCATGGAGTTGTTCGTCCATTCTTTTCATTCCCGTGGTGTGTTGGAGGGATGGAAGGATTTGTGTTGACCTCCAAGTTTTGAGTTGGTATGGATTGTGTTTTCCATACATTGAATGTTTCATCGTCTCCTCCCACTCTTAGTTTTACGGTGCCTGCTTGCACATCAATGACGGCTGCGGAAGTGGCCAAAAATGATCTCCCAAGGATGACGGGAACCTCCATCTCTTCCATGTCTAAAACAAGAAAATCTACCGGAAAGTAGAATTTTCCTACTTTGACAAGGACGTCCTCCATGATGCCTATCGGATAGCGGATTGTTCTATCCGCTAATTGCAAAGCAACCGTTGTTGGTTGGAGTTCCCCCACACTTAGCTTTTTAAATAGGGAGTGGGGCATGAGATTTATGCTAGCGCCAAGGTCACAAAGAGACTTTACCTCCCCGACTTTTCCGATAGAGCATGGAATAGTGAAGCTTCCGGGGTCTTTTAGTTTTGGAGGAAGTTTGTTTTGAATAATGGCACTACATTCCTCCGTTAGTGCCACAGTTGCAAATTCCTCTAACTTCTTTTTGTTGGAGATGATGCCTTTGAGAAATTTTGCATATGATGGAATCTCCGCAATGGCCTCCGCAAAAGGTATGTTGATGCTCAATTTCTTGAAAATATCAAGAATTTTCTTGTGTTTCTTCTCATCTCCTTTCTTCTTCAACTTTTGTGGATAGGGGATGGGAGGAACATATTGAGGCATAATAGGTGGCAACGGTGTATGTGAAACCTCTTCTTGTTCCTCCGGTGTCTTTCTTCTCTCCGGCATTTTGGGATCCTCTGTTTGCCTCCCGCTTCTTGTGGTAATGGCCATCACGCTCTCCCTCGGGTTTACCTCCGTAGTTGTAGGGAATTTACCTTGCTCTCTAGAACTCACTTTTTGGGCGAGTTGCCCCAATTGAACTTCAAGATTTCGGATGGACGCCTTGGTATATTGCTCAATGGTGTCGATGCGTTGGTTGAGCTTTATATTTTGATCTTCAAAGCGAAGATCCAACTTGTTGAATTGAGAGTGGAGATTCCCAATGGATGCCTCCACTCTACTATGGTTCTCTTCATTTTGAGCCTTCATGCTTTCCATGCTCTTGGATATGAATTGCATCATATCCTCCATGGTGGTTTCCTTGGACGGCCCAAAATTAGGTGCTCCGGATTGGGGTTGTGGCTTCCAATTGCTCCCTTGGTTCCACCTTTGTTGATTAGAAGGATTATTGTTTCCCCGGTTCCCATAAGAGTTCATAAAATTTACCTCTTCAAGATGTTGAGATAAATTGCCTTCCGGACTTTGAATGCTCTCCACATTAGCTATTTGCTTGACTCCTCCCAATACGGCTTGAAGGGCCGTTTGGAATTTTTGCTCAATTTTTGATTCCATTTGTTCAAGCCTTTTATTAATCTCGGTTGTGATAGAGATTTCATTCATCACGACCACCTTGTAATCGCCTCCTTGAAGTTGAGGATTTGAGGCAATAGATTCAATGATTCGGAGTGCCTCAGTTTCATTTTTATTTCCAATGTAGCCCTCGGCTCGGTTGTCTACAATGGCTTGACAAGGTGAATTCAAACCATTGTAGAATGTATCAAGTTGAAGATCAAGGGGAATGCGGTGGTGCGGGCATTCCCTTAACAATGATTTGAAACGCCGCCATGCGTCTTGAAAGAGCTCACCATTTTGTTGTTTGAAATTGAAAATGTGTTGTCTAAGCTCTTGAGTCATGGTGGGTGTGTAGTATTTAGACATGAAGGCATTGTATATACCTTCCCATGTTGTGTAGCTTGCCGGAGCTTGCTCTAGGAACCATCCTCTTGTCGCCCCTTTGAGAGTGTAGGGGAAGCATTTGAGCTTGAGTTGATCCTCCGCCAAGCCATTTCTAGGGATTCCTTGAATGAATCCGTAGAACTCCGTGATGAAGTTGAGTGGATTTTCCCCAAGCAAACCATGAAACTGAGGCATAGCGTTGAAGTAGCTTTGCCTTAGCTCATAGTCTCTTGCTTCCTCGCTCAAGGTGATGCAAGATGGTGTAGCGGCCACCACGGGTCTCTTCCTCTCATTCAAAGTTGGCAACATCTTTTTAGCTTTTTGCTCCCTTCGAATGTGTTTGCAAGTTTTTTTCTATTTCAAGATCAAGTGCTTCAAGAATTTTAGAACCTTGACCTCTCAATTGCATGCAAACACAAGGGAATATCTACACAAGCAAAAACAAAAATCCTTCCAAGATCTAGTGAAGTTGTGAAAAATAAATTCAGGATTTTTGATTGGTTGATTGTTTGGACTTTATTAAACAAGACCGTTTCCCCGGCAACGGCGCCAAAAACTTGACCGGGCTGAACTTGCAAGTGTACAAGTGCCGATGTAGTAATAAATTCCGGTAAAATACCGGGTCGAATCCACAGGGAAACGTTGTTTAATTCAAGTCCGGGAATAGATGACTTTAAATAAATAAATGAGTAAAGTGCAGGGATTTTGAGTTGTGTGTTGTTGTGAAAACAACAACTTGGTTCTTCTTTTTAATTTTCAGAGATATAACTTAAATTAATTTGATTAAAGTGATTGATAACAACAACTAAGGCTTCGGGAATCACTTAAATGCTTTAATAGGGTTGAATATTAGTTCTTTACCAACAATTATGAATACGATGTCGCTAATATATTCTCAACTCCGGTTAAGGCAGCGAGAGCGTGGTTTTCGTTACGTGTAAGTCCCGTTACGGCTTACATTCATCTACCGAAAACCCCGTTGAATATCAAGACATCACACCCGTATCATATAATACCGGATATATTTCTATTCTCGGTAATATATATGTTTATCCTTTAATGTTCATAGTTTAGACTCCAACGTTAATTGCAAGCATAAACTAAGTTTAACATACTTCTATGTTGTACACCATAGTCATAAACAATCAAAATGTAAAGGATAAATCACAATTTATTGGTTTAGAACTTTTATCAAACACCTAGTGGGCATAGAAGTTCATCCCTAGCCTTAGCTAAGAACTTAGCCTCTAATGCCCATATTAATTACAAAAGTGTAACTAAGAACAATGAAATACAATAACATACAAGAAATAATACCTAGAACCAATTGTAGAAGAGAGAAATGGCTTCTTCTCCAACACTTCAAGAGAATGCAAAAATGAAATATAAAAACTGAAATTTAATCTTCAAGAATGGAATGATGCCCTTGTTTGATGAATTGGGGGCTTTATATAGGCTAAAGATTGGCATCTTTTAGTCCATTCGAGCCCAACAATCAAGCATGGAAGAAATATTTGATCAGATCATAAGGAAAGTGGGTTTTTCCCATCAGGATCTTGCTGCACGTCTCCATGTTTTGTGCAGAATCGGGGTTAACCGGCGCCGGTTATAGGGGTGGACCGGCGCCGGTTTTGCTTCGATGCTGAATAATTGTGGAAAATGGTATAACCGGCGCCGGTTATAGGGGTGGACCGGCGCCGGTCTTGCTTCGGTTCACCGTAATAAGGCCTTTTTAAATGAAACCGGTGCCGGTTTTAGGGTGGACCGGCGCCGGTTTTCCCCTGCACTGCAATTCTTCATTTTTCGCTTCGTTTTACGCCCGTGGTTGACCCCGAAGTGTCGGTTCTCGGCCCCTTTCGATTGTTGACTCTTGTGTTTTCATCTTTGACGTATTTGTGCGGTTTTTTACTCAAAATGGGATTTATACCTGCTTTGTCTTTGAATATTTGTACAGATAATCATAATTACCTATATAAAATATAGGTGGCTATTGTGCTTATCACAGTCCAAGACCGGAACTGTCTGGTTCGGTCCCAAATATTGAAACCCTAGAACTAGGTGCCGCTTTTATCTATGGGTGGACAGGACCCGGTCCGGTTCGGGCCTAAGCCCGGCCGGGCTTGGATGTTTTTGGGTAAGGCCTGGGACCGGCCCGGGACCGGCCCGGGACCAGCCCGGAAATCTATCGATTCCGGACCGGGCCGGTTCCGATTTATTTTAATTTTTGTGTTTTCTTATTTATTCCAACCCCGATCCCCCCACCCCCCAAACTCCTCAGAAACACCCAGCCCAGCCCACCTAAACCCAGCCCAAACCTGGCCCGGACCGGCCGGTTCGTATTTCAGGGGTCCCAGAACCACCCCCGGTTAGTACCTCGGGTCGGGCCTAAGCCCGGTACCGTTACCGGTCACCCGGGCCAGGCCCGCACAGCAGCGGGCCGGGCCGGCCGGGGCCGCACAGTAGCGGGCCGGGCCGGTCAGACCGGCTCCATGTCTACTTTTATCCAGTCAAGGACTGGAAAAACAGAGGTGGAGTAGCTGGACCCAGTCTAGTTCTAAAAAGTACCGGAGCCTGTTCCAGGGAGGCGAGACTGCGAGAGTGGACTGCCAGACCAGGTCCACCCCTTTTCATAAATCTTCACACGTCACAAATGGCAATTGAGATTTGAGAGTATAAACAAATTTGTTCGGATTGTTAATTACCAAAATATACATACATCACTTGGGACTAAAACCAGACGACTACAGCGTTGCTTACATGAATTACCGACTGATAGTGCTAGTCAAACTCGGCAACAAAACTTAAAAGCAGAAAATGCATGGGCGGCTGCATTTCCATGTTCTACCAGCTTATTTGTCCCTAATTGCCTAAAATCCTACAAATAACATACTTATTAGTTATTATGAACAAACAGAGATATTTTTCCATGGGATTATGGGAAATGTTTTAATATTACACACAGTAATACAGTATCTAAACCAGTTATGGGCACTTCTTGTAGTCTTCCTTCATATGAAAAGATGAGTCGTTGCTTGTTAACCTCCCTTGAAGAAATAAACATGACGCCCTGGCATGTTTTTCAGCAAGCATTTGTCGCGCACCTGTCCAAAGGTAGCGCCCAGAGCATTGACATACACATTGTGTTTATATCATTCATTCATGATAATCAGCCTACCTTTACTCGGTGGAACTCTAGACCTGTTTCACACACAACAAAGCATATTCAGCCTGGCTTGACAATGAATAAAACTATAAGTGCTATGCTGTCTGTGTTGTCCTAATCTGGAATTCAACAGACATAAATATGAACAAATTCCAAACACCAACTTAAATTGTTTTTTCCAAATCAGAAACTTTTTATAAAATATTTTTTCGTCTAGAATTTCATCATTTTATTTTCATCACTATGAATTAAGAGTTTCATATTCAAAATACGAAATATTAAAAAATATCAAAAATGAATTGAAAAATTCATGAATATGAATTTAGGTGTATCTAGGAAGAACTTTGAAGAAACGCTTCCCTAGATACACAAGCTTTGGTGTTTTAAAATTAAATTAAAACTCCACAAAACAAATTTAAAAAAGACCTAAAGTGAGAGATTTCTCAATAGGTAATGTTGCACCAATGCCCAACCAAAAGGTCACTCCGGTACCAATCAAAAACACAGTGGTTGCTACTGGAAGAAGAAATGGGTTTTGGAATTTATTAACATTCTCTAAAAAAAGGTATTGTTAATAATCCCGTAGGTACTGAAACCATTAAAAGAATACCTAATATTTTATTAGGCACTGTACGAAGTATTTGAAATACAGGAAAAAAATACCATTCAGGTAATATTTCTAACGGGGTTGCAAAGGGATTTGCGGGTTCACCAATCATTGATGGTTCTAGAACTGCTAAACCTACATTACATGCAATAGTACCAAGAATAACTACTGGAAAAATATATAAAAGATCATTGGGCCATGCGGGTTCCCCGTAATAATTATGACCCATACCTTTTGCCAATTTAGCTCTTAATACAGGATCATTCAAGTCAGGTTTTTTTATTATTGGGATAGGTGAAGTCTTAGAGATCCATCCCCCGAGGGAACCGGACATGATAATTTATTTAATTGACCAAAATCTGATAGATATAATTAGATGTCACAAGTGAACTATGTTGACCCGTGAATAGTAAAGAGTTACTTTCATTTTGGGATAGGGGTAGTATTTGCAATAACCAAGAGGTAACCTTGATCCAACAAACAGTACTCACCCACTGAATAGATTTAGAAAAGTTTCCTTCCAGAATTTTTGCTGTTGCCATCACCAAAATTACCAAATCCACTGGGCCGACCTGAACCAAATTCTCCAAAACCACCAGACCGGTTTGAACTATTAGGCCCTCCAAAACTGCCACCACGATCAGAGCCGCCATAGTTCCCAAATCCACCATAGCGACTTGAACCACTCTGCCCCCCTCCTGGTCGACCTCCACCGTACCCCCCTCCTGATCGACCTCCACCAAAACCACCACCTGGTCGGCCTCCACCAAAGCCACCACCTGACCGCCCTCCACCAAAACCACCACCAAAGCGACCACTGCCAGAGCTCTCATAACCACCACGGCTGCCAATTTGACGCATATCGCTGAACATGTTTTCTGTTCCAGCCTCTACTTCCATTCTTGGGAGCTTTTGCAGGATTAGACATACAACTATTAGTGAAGCTGAAATGTGATTTGCTAAGAGAAAATTATAATTAAACAAGTCTAAAGATGAGCACATCATCCAAATTGAAGTGCAAGAAGAAATACTAGTATATATTCAACAAATGTATACTACTGGCAAAAAGAAAGCAATGTCGGGAAAAAACTATACAAGGCCTATCAAGGACAAACATCAAGAACTTTTTCTTCTTAAGCTAAGATAGTAAGATCTATCACCTATGCACCCAAAAGTTCCATCATAATTCATTTCAGGAAAATCTATATACGTAAAAAGTCAATCTGCCTGAAGAATGCAAGCAACATTGGTATATATGAGAAGTTAAAAAATGTTATAATGAAGAAAGAGAGTTATCTTTCTTTAACATGATGTGATCAAAAGCTATCAAAAGGCCCAAGCAAAAGAATTTGGCCTTAAAATCCAAGAGTAAACAGCACTATAGTGCACTTTTCAGCTGGCACTAGCACCTATGAATTAGCTACATACATAAGTGTCTTTGAAACAAAAGCTTGTTAGTAAGCTATATTCTAATGCTGCACTTTTACTCGCACAAAAGAAGCATAGTGAGAACATTCGATCCCCCCGTGTGCTTGTACCAAAAAGTAACAAAACATCCTAACAAACTCTAAACTCTTGACTCATGTAATGATGAATCATATCATGAGACTAAGAATCTTCTAATTTTAAAGTTCTAGTAATATTTCAGATAAGAAATTTCTAGAACTGCTCATGCTCACAGAGAAAATATGGTTGACATTCATACCTCAATGAATCTGGATCCTACATCACGTTCAATGCCTTTCACATCTCTTGACTGCTGTGCTGAATACATGAGAATTGCAGTACCTTTCTTACCAGCACGTCCTGTACGGCCAGATCGATGAACAAATATCTCTGAAGAGTTTGGGAGTTCATAATGCACTACCTGATCATAAAATCATTTATAAGCACGATATAGCAGTTTTAGGTAGGGCTGTAACTGAACAAGGGTGTTCATGAGCAAACTCGGTTACTATACATATACGATAAAAATTTGGAGCTTGTTAGTTGGTTGAACAGCTCAACAGAGTTCATACAATTAGCAGCTTCACTCAAGTTGGTGTTCATGATCATGCCTGTTTGTTATGTATATGAACTATTTGTCATATTATATGGAGTATTATGTTTCTTATTTTTTTGCATACTACCTCCGTCCCAAAAAGGTTAGCCATATTGACTTTTCTTGATCAATGATGGAAAACTTTGAACAATGATTTTAATTATTATATTTATACATAAGCTATAAATTTTATACTTTTATGAAAATATTTTGAATAAGAAACATTGATATAATTTTCACATTCCAAATAATTTTGTATTAAAAAATATCATTGGTCAAAGTTGATTGCCATTGACGAAGAAAAGTGAATTTGGCAAACCTTTCCTGGACGGAGGGACCGAGGGAGTATATAATTAATATGAGATATTTTTCCTAAAATATTACTAATAAAAAAGCCACAAACAAAAATGTGGCTTGGTAACTTTTAGTGACTATAATTGTGTTCAAAGTTATTACTAGTATGATGTAGAGATTATGATGTAAACTTTGAACACAATTATAGTCACTACAAGTTACCAAGTCACATTTTAGTCCATCACTTTTCCAGGAATAATATGAGTCAAATTTTTTCTTAATATAATTTTATCGGAAAACAAAAACATTTCAGGCATAAAAAACATGCTAAAGGTTGAATATCTCGAGTGATAAATATTTTGATCCCTTAAAGATTACTTATTCAACTTAAAATTGATTGACATCTTTTGAATTTCGATTATACTATGACATAGAGTGATAGAGCATATCTTACTGTAGTTTTTCTGGACAAAATGATAAGATTTATACAGTATAGTTTATGATAATATGGTATGCATTAATTTGTTTATTTATATACTAAATATTTTTTAGCTTAATGTTAGATGTGTGTTTGTTCAAGGCTGATTAATTATCATGTTACCTTGGACATTGCCAAGTTTGTATTAGGTGTGATTCGTGTGAAATAAGAAAAGTAAAAATTTTGTGGTTGAGAGTTGGGCAGAGAGAGAAATAAACAAAACCACAAATTATTTACTTTGAAAACAAATGGTAAAATTTTTGGGACAAACAAAAAGGAACATTGGCACAGTCCAATGGGACGGAAGGGAGTATAAGTATGAACAGTAAATAATAAAACACAAACACAATATACCAATCACAAACCAGCATGAACACATTTAAGCTTGGCTTCAAATACGATTGCATAATGCAAGATTCTTCAAAAACAAAACTGGTCAGGACTACTGCTTTAAAGATCATCCTTTAGCTTGTGATTGGTGCAACAAAAGAACATTGAAAGGGTATGAACCAAGTCAATGAAGAGGGAGGAGAATTCCCAGTTACCAATAATATACACCATTTTAACAAACACTTCATAAATATGAAGGATAAAAGGGTATAAAAGTCTTTGAACTTTTATTAAAAGAATTTAATCAATCTAGGACCAGAAAGATAGACGAATTATCAATTTGGGACTTGAAAGATGAAATGTGTCGGTAAAGGGCCCGAATGATTGAAAACTGTCAATCTAGGACCTAAAATTTCATAGTTTTTTTAATCAATTCCATGGGTTTTTTGTCATATATAGGACTAAAATGTTGCTTAAATTCCTAAATAGGAGTATGATACTCCCACTAAACTGAATTCAGGAATGAATGAGGACTGACCAAATCAACATTAGGAACATCAAGACCTCGAGCAGCAACATCAGTGGCCACCAATATGTTGAAATGACCTTGTCTGAAACCTGATAGTGTTCTCTCCCTCTGATTCTGTGAGATGTCTCCATGCAATGCTTCACATTTGTAGCTTCTTTGCATGGCATACGCTAACCTATCAGCATCACGTTTTGTTTGAGTAAAGACTATGCATTTCCCTCCTTTTGCATGCTCCTAATAACTCACACAGAACACTAGATAAGTTAAATAACAAAAGAAGATTAAAAGCATAGAAATCATGTCTAAATGTCAGACAGCCACACTGCCACAGTATGCTTTCTTACGGTTATAAGAGGTCCAATTATTGATGGTTTCTGGTGCATATCACAAGCAATTGAATACAGAGAAATTCCATCAGCTAATTTCTGATCTGAATCTCCAACCTACAAGACAAGTTAATCTAATGATTTTGACATGTAAGTGATGTAACATAAAAAAAACATAATAGAGTACATGATCAAAATTATTTACTAATAAGACTGCATCTAAAGACCATAGAAACCCACAAGATCAATGTGAACTGGACTTTTTAAGAACTTCTGAGTAAGTTTAAGAATCCAATTTGGCATTGTGGCAGAAAACATCATTGTTTGACGCTTCCTTGGAACTTTTTCTAGAATTGTTTCAACATCCTCGGCAAAACCAACATTAAGCATCTGATCAGCTTCATCCAGAACGACAAACTGAATTTCTGTTAAATCCAGAGCACCCCTTTTGATGAGATCAATAACCCGACCTGGTGTGCCAACCACCACATCAACACCTCTCTCCAGCTGACCCATTTGACTTCCAATAGGGACACCGCCATAAACGCATAATGTATCCAAATTAGGGGCAGACTCGTAGAATTCTTTGTCCACTTGTTTAGCAAGTTCTCTTGTGGGAGCCAAAATCATTGCTAAAGGGTTTCTTCCCTTCCTGCATTATTAAGAATATTGAAACTTTCTAATAAATTTATCTTGTGTCAAATGGATTTACAAGAAGTAGAGCATGATGATCAGTGTTGTCAAGTAGCGACTAAGTCGGTGCAATGGCGGATGGTGGGGGTAATATTTGAGCAAACCACCATTCCATAGCAGTGGTGAGGCGGAATCTTCATGGCAGTTCATGGCGCCCACCATAGCAGTATGGCACTATATCGTTATTGTTAAGACCTACGCTATGTTGGATCACTAAAATGACTGGCCCTTTTTACCCAACTGGTCGACCTAGCTGGTTTACTCTGGAACCTTAAAAAACTATGAGGTGAAACTTACAAGCATTTGTATTTTAATTCAACAAAAAAGAAATAAAGGGAGGGAAGGAGGGAGGGAGGCCTCCTAAGTCTGACTTCTTGGAAGCTTCACATCCTTAACTTCTTCATTCAAAGATGCCTCTGTCTTTTAAATTAATTTTCTATTTTTTAATATATTTAATCTTTTGTCTCCTACAATATTTTTTAATGGTCTGCTTTTTTCGTCTCAGGCTGCCAGCTATTTTTTCATTCTTTGCTCTTGCAATTCGTTTTTTCATTTGTTCGCATATTCCAGCTACTGGTTATGTTACGTTTGTTCACATATGAGAAGCTCTCGCAGTTAGACTTATCCAGTTCATTAGAATTTTAAAATTTGAGACTTATTATTCGGATTTGTGAGACTTTAAGTTTTAGACTTTTTCTATTTGTAAAAACTTTTAATTGTGGTGGTAAACTAGTTCTGTGCTATGACTCAGCATTTAGTATTTTCTCTGTCCCAAAATGATTTTCGCTTTTATTTCTCTCCATCCACACATTTGTACTTTACTCCCTAATTTTGAGTATCAATTTGTAATCATCTTTTTATTTACTTTGTGTGATTCAATAGAACTTATAATTTAGTTCCTAAATACATAAATCTTAATTATTAACACTAACTTAAAAGAAATTATCGGGTGAGAATAAACTTTATCGGTTAATCTTAAGTCAACCTCGTAAACCATTTTTTGCACATCCTAACGACTAGTGTAATTAATGTTACTGCTTACTGGAATTTGTTTATTAGTTTACTGCTTACAACTAGTATCTAAACATGACTATTCCTCACTCTGACCCAGTATCTTTGTCCTGAGTTCATTATTACTTCACATATACTTCACAAATTTAATACCTACCACATAATTCCACTTTTATTAGTACTTGTGTCACTTCATCATGTCTCAATCTTAGTGTACTATAATGTAAATAAAAGTATACTCAATATATTTACATCTAGATATGCAATATTTTTGTCTGGTCCACTATGCTTCAGCCATTCGGAGCAACGTAATATGTCATATTCATACGAAGGCTTTTTTGTTATCCGCCAAAACCCACCAACTGGCATAGACAACATAGAATGATCATCAAAGCTACTAATATCTAATACTACGTAAATGTACTACATCGTGAACTAACATACCCATGTTTTGCATTGAAACGAATTATCTTATCCATGATGGGAATTCCAAAAGCTAAAGTTTTCCCTGTTCCTGTTCTAGCTCGCCCTATCATGTCAGAGCCTCGCATTGCTGGTTCTAGCACGGCTCTCTACAAAATTTCGTAATTAATAAGTTTAATGAAAGTTATCATAAGAAATTAAAAAACGATCATATTGGGACATAAAGTTATATTCATTTCTATTGCGAGCAACATAAAATTGTGTTGAAACACAAGCACAAAAGTCTAGTTAGTATTAAACAACATTTGTTTGGAAATAAAGAATGCAGGACATTGCACAGAAAACTACTCCTGTATTCCCATACATGCTATCCTGGGGGGTTTGTACAGGATTTCAATATTATAATCCCCCCAATCCTGAGTCATGTACCACAGGATAATGCTGTACCATTGAAAAACGCTCACCTAGTTAGGAAGTTTTTTATAACGCAAAAAAATTCAGGGGGGGGGGCTCTGGATTAAGAGAATGTGAGCGCCCAGATTTAAGCTCACTTTGTAAGATTTTAAAGGAATCAGACTTGTTTTATGATTGGAAAGGTATCCGATATAAGTTGGATCACGAAGTTAAATAAATGGAATGCTATGCTTATATTAATGATTAATCACTTTAACTTCGACAGAACCAAATCAACATTTGCTAGTTTTAAGAATTTTTTGTATAAATAACTGAAAACAGAAAGAAAAGGATACGGAGAGAGGCATAAACTTTCACGGTTATTTCTCAAACACCTGAATTGGGAAGAGCTTCCTGATTCCCTTCTGAGCCAAGGCAGATACGATATCAGGAGAAATACCTAGATTGGCTATATCAAGCCCTTCTTCATCGTCAGGCAAATCCGCAATAGCGTAATCGGCTGCCAACGGCTGAGAAACGTGGAAACCCCTTACAACCTGACCAATTGACGGCGTTGCCGCAGACGATCTCCCGATGCTTGGAAAGCTACGAAGTATGGCAAACGCTTGAAATTGGGATGTATTCGATGCCACCAGCCTATCGGAGGCCGACGAAGACGAGTGAAAGAGATGTGATATAGCGGTGACGGAAAATCTTTTCGAGACCAGCGAAGAAGAAGATTTTCTCAACATGAGGCTACCCATTTTCTGCGAGTAGAATCTTTAGGTTTAGAGAGCGTAGCGGGTTTAATTAGGGTTTAGAGGAAGTGAGCTTAGGAAGTGCAGAAATGAACTAACCCGCCTTAGTCGAGGGAAGGAGGAAACTAGGAAAGAAGGAAAATTGGTGTTTGGAACTAATTCTGATTCTACTTCTTTTCTTTAAACATAAACAGAATCAGAATCAGTTTTCAGAAGCTGGTCTCCCCCAGTTTCTAAAAAAACTGATTCTATGAATAAATTAGAGCTCCAGAATCACTTCTGCACTTTCACTCAAACACTCCAACTTCTGTTTATGTTCCTTCAAGGAGCAGAAGCATTTTAAGAATCAGATCCAAACACTCCCTTAGTCCAATTTGATGTTTTTGTTAAGCTTTAGGATGTGACAGATGATAAAGCAAACAGATCTCTGTCCGCGCTCAAATTATTTTTGGAAAAAACAATTTACATATTCAGAAACTGCATTTAAATCTTGAAAAAAATTACATATTCAGAAACCGCATTTAAATCTTGACATAGTCACAAAAACCAGAATCAAATTTGATAAAAAAAACTGATATATAAAGTTAGAGATTAAAAGTGATTTGTGTTGACCAAATAAATTGGAACTGGGGACATCAAATTAGGACGTAGGTAGTTACATTCATCCAAAAAAGACGAGGTGTGTGTCAATTGAGTACATCAATTTGTGTGAGATGAAGTAAAGAGTACACAATATTGCACCCATCCAGCCCCACTTCAGTTACAGTCCGTCTACTACCCGACAGTCCTTGTCCGCTCCGATCAATGGGACAAAAAGAAAATAATTAGTCAAAGTAGTCATTGAGACCGACCCGGTTTCGGTCCCAACTTTCCCCTACCAAGGACAGGGTACCCTATTTGGGTTGTACCAGATTCGGTTCCGGATCGTGGCCGTACTTTCGGTCGATCCCATAATCGGGTGGGGAATTTTAGTGAGCATGTTTTCAGATTTGAAAATGGAAAACTGAAAAATGAAACAAAAAATTGAAGAACGGAAAACTGGAAAATCAAAACAAAAAAAAAAACTGGAGAACGGAAAACAAAAAAAGGAAAATTGGAAAATATGTCTATCAGTAAACAGGACCTAACTTTATCATCTCCTAAAATTTGGGCCATTATTTTAATTAATGGCCAAGTTTGAAAATTTTGGGCATTTTACCCATCTTCTGCCTGTCTTCTTTTTACTTTCTTCTACACCTCTAGATCTAAAGACAACATACTATCACACCTCTTAATCTAGACCAAAAATTTCGGTAATTGCTACTTTTGTGATTCTAGTTTTACTCCACTTCCATTCTAGATTTCCAGTCTCCTAAGACCCTTTTGATTCTTCATTCCGATACTTCGTTATTGTCAATTTGTAATTCATCAATTTTATCCACAATCGAGTTCATCCGAGGTTGGTCTCTCCGAAATTCTAATTTTTTTAGCATATCAGCCGGGGGAATCATGAGAAGCGCGAATGGAGTCAATAGATTTAGCTCTAGGATTTTCTACGGATGTAAAATTAAAAAAATACAGGGTAGTTAGAAAGGAAATGGTAGAAAGAAAGTAATGGAAGAAGAAGGATGACTGAAATGTAAGTTGAAACCAAAAAAGTGGAAATAAGATTAAAGAATATGGCATATTGAAAGAATGGAATTTAAAAAAAAATGGATGACCATGGAAGAGGAGTCTAGGTGACAGAACTAATTTAAGAAAGAGAAGAAGTAGATGAGAAAGATGAAGGGCTGGTAGCCTGGCACGACATGGATATTTAATTTGGGGTAAGAATACATCACGTGGGTGCAAAGGGTATTCTAGTCTTTAGTGGTTGCCATTTTAATCTAAAAAGGAAGCGTTGCATTTATATTGAAACTTCCGGAAAAGGCAAGTGTTGCATTTATTTAAGAACGAAGGAAGTATATTAATTTTGAAAACTAAAAGATAAGGGGGGCAAAAACATATGTATCTAACTAAAGTATGAAAATTTTTGGAAAATATTACATATATTTTAGAAAAATTTGAAAGTCCAATTCGGCATTGATAAAATTATGTGTATTATAAATTTAAAATTTAAAATATATAAATAACTTAAAATAATAGCATGTATAGCAGCACTAAGATTGGCTCAATCGGATGAATATGCTATAATTGATGAAATTTTGAAGGAAGCGGCTGAATTGGCTTGGTTATGATTTTTTTTAATATATTCGTAGTAGTTTATTAATAAAATAATGAAAAATATATATGAAAATAGCTAAAATGATAATCTGCATAACTTCAGCCAATTTGGTCTGAAAAGTGATTACAGATGAAAGGGAGAATGTTTAAAGATGAAAAAAAGTTTTGGCTTAGGTCATAAATGAAAAATCATACTCCGTAGGTAAAAATGATCAAACGGGTAATTTCCACTTTATTTTACACCTTAGCAGGATGACACCCCATCCCTGAGGGCCCCCAACACCGACCGGACAACACGATGGGAGGATGTAAATTGGACTATAATTACAATCTGACAGGTAGAGAGTGAGGCTCAATATCCAGTACTTGCAGAGGCCCTGTGCATTTTTAGCATAGTAAGCTCTCATCGCAGTTGACGGAATTCGAACCCGGGACCTAACCCTTGTGTCACTCCCTCTCCCTCGCTACCAGTTGAGCCACGCCCACAGGTTATTTTACACCTTACCGGATTGCAGTCTCATAAAAAAACAATTTTTCTATTGTTACACACTCTCTCTACACACACATACACACCATATATACCCAAAAAAATAATTTACCCCCTTTCCCTCCCCTCATACAATTTCACACGTGCCACACTTCAAAAAAACACCCTCTCCCGATTTTATTGCGGATCCCCCACCTTCTCTCTTCCTTCGAACTGCCTAACCTTCCCCCTTCTTCCTCCGATCAATTTTGCTTTGTTCTTGCGATTAGTCCCCGCCGCTGGCCGTCGCTGGAAGGTCTTCGTCTCCGCCAACCCCCGACGAAGTCAACCCTCGTCCCTGGCAACCCCACTCGTCGAAGACTAGCCTCGTCCCCTGCAACCCCCGTCGAAGGCATCCCGCCAACCCTCCGTCGAAGGCAACCCTCCTCCACGCCAGCCCCCGTCAAAGGCGACCGTAGTTAGGCCTGGACTCGGGCCGGTTCGGGCCCGGTTCGGGCCTAGGCCCGGCCGGGCCTCGGTTCGGAAATGTAAGGCCCGGGCCCGGCCCGCCTGTAAGCGGGTGCCGGTTCGGGCCGGGTGACCCGGCCGGGCCCCGGGCCGGGTGAATCGGCGGGTCGGGTCGGGCCTTTAATATTTTTTTTTTAACTTATAGTCTTATACATCTACTTGGAATCTTGGATATTAAAATTATTAAAAAACAATCTTGAAGTACATTTATGTGAAATAAGTAATAAGTACATTTTGAGAATTGAGAACAATTAATTCTAATACATTTTGTATTAAGTAATAATAATATAATATAATTAAAAAATGCGACATATAAAAAAATTTAACTTTTATTGATTTGAAATATGAACTACAAATCTACAAGTTCACAAATTACAATAGAGAATTGAGGATAAAATAATAAATTGTAAAATACTAATCAATCGGAATCCCCGGCATAGGTAGAACCACCATCGGTTGATTCATCCATAAAGTCTTGGGAGGGGATGAGGCTAAGTTCTTGAGTTCTACGTCTTGCCTTCAACCAATCGTGGTAGCATATAAGCGTCTCAAGAGATTCGGCACTCAAACACGTTCTCGATTTAGTTAGGACGTTGCCGGCCGAACTAAATTCTTGTTCCACGGCAACTGTTGAAACCGGCATTGATAGTACTTGCTTAGCCATCCGTGCCAAAATCGGGAACGTTCTTTCTTTTGACTTCCACCACTTTAGGACGTCAAATTCTTCATTTTCTACAAACTCAACCTCATAGTTAATATACAAAGCAATCTCATTAATTGTGCTTTGTTCAGTAGTGTGCGTTGTTTTAGCTTTTTTCATAAGATTGCCAAATGCAGATTTAAAAAAACCTTTTCCTTTAGATGAAGATGTTTGGGTTGGGGGAGGGGGCACATTGCCATATTGTGCACGAAACTCATTAACTAAAGAATAAAATAAACTACTAACCTCGTTGTATTCAGATTGCGGATCTATAGGGTTATCTTCATACATTGGAAAATCACCATAAAAAGATTGATAATAGAACTTGTAACATTGTTCCAAATTACCAAGTCGATAACGAGGATCGAGAATAAATGCAATACCATAAATATGTGGAATATGTGCATAATATTTTAAAAACTTTTCCTTCATAAAAGTACAAAAATAGCTCACATAATCGGCATTTTGAAATTCATTAAAAGCACCGGCGAGATTAACAAGTTCACGCATAAATTCGTTTGAAGTAGGTTTATAAACATGACTAAAACTTTCAGTTGCATTATTAAAAAATATCAAAACATTACAAATTTTTTCGCAAGTGTCGATGTGAGCGGAGTTTAAAATGTAGTTATCATATTCTTTTAAAAAAGCAGGAAAATGTTCTTTATATCTAATAAGAACTCTAATTAATTTATAAGAACTATTCCACCGAATAGACAAATCTCTAGGAAAAGCAACATATTTCACATTTCTTTCATTCAAATAATTTTTCCATTTTAATTTAAGTTGACCATTAGCCCAAATACGTCTAATCCCCCCCTTCGCTACCTCCATAGCATCTCCCAACGCTTTTAGACCATCCTGCACACATAAATTTATTATATGGCATGCACATCGTTGATGAAAAAATCTACCCATCAAAGTAGTAGAACCACACAATTCACGCAATCTAGGTATAGCAGCAGTATTATTAGTAGCATTATCAAAACCTATAGCAAACACCTTATCAACCAAATTATACTCAATTAAAATACGCTCAATCAAAATATAAATATGTTCGGCGGTGTGACGATCATTAAATTCACGAAAAGCAAGAACACGTTTATGCAAATTCCAATCATCAGCGACATAATGTGCAGTCAAACCCAAATAATGTAAATTATGATAGGTGTCCTCCCATATGTCAGAACAAACAGTAACACATCCATCATAGTTTGCAAAAAAAAATTGTAAGTTCAACTTTTCC